TGAGACATGATAAGCTCAGAAATTCACCTTTGCTTTGGCTTGTATGACACTATGCCTGGTTCTCCATTTCCTTACCTGGGCACCCTGGTTTTTTTTTGTTCTTGTTTTATTTCATTGTTTTCATGGGTAATCTCACCCATTTCCATGGCTTTATTTACCACCTGTATTCCAGTGATTCCCACATCTCTCTCTAAAGTTCAGACCTAAATTTGCAACTAAATATTAGATGTAGAGATGTCTCAAATTCATTGTGTAAAATATTGAACTTTATTTCTCTCTCCTCCTAGGATCTGTCTAGGATTCTAAACTAGAAATCTGAGTCATCTGGGCTAAATTTCAAAGGAATTTAGAGATTATCCTCTTGAACATCCTTATTTTATAACCAGGAAAATGAGACCCATGTAGGTAAAGTAAATTGATCATTGTCTGCAAAACCTGTCAAAACCAGGGTTAGAAGCTAGAAAACACAATATCTAATAGTACCTGCAAACACGTAGGAGGAATTGCTTTTTGATTCTGGCAGTTTTTTTCCATTTCTGCAGTAACATTGGCCTAGTTCACATCTTCCTCATTTGTCATCAAATTCAACTATTATGTAAATAACATAATATAGGAGTAAATGCAGAGGATTGAAATCAGGTGTTTCTAGATCCAGGCATATGACTTGATGGAGCTAGTCTCTTTGAGCCTTATTTTGCTTCAGTTTTGCGAAAGAAACTTTATTGAATAGTAACTTGTATGGCAAATAAAAGCCAGACCTTTTTTCTTTTTAAATATTTGTTTATTTGAAATTCAGAGTTACAGAGAGAGAGAGAGGAGAGGCACAGAGAGAGAGAGAGAGAGAGATCTTCCATCCACTAGTTCACTCCCCAAATGGCCACAATGGCCAGGAGTGGGCCAGGCCGAAGTCAGGGGTCAGGAGCTTCTTCCAGGTCTCCCAGGTGGGTGCAGGGACCAAGGACTTGGGCCATCTTCTGCTGCTTTCCCAGGCACAGCTGGTAAGTGGAGCAGCTGGGACTTAAACTGGTTCCCATATGGGATGCCCACACTGCAGACAATGGCCTAACTCACTGTGCCACCGCACCAGCCCCAAAACCAGACTTCTTAGTGTAGTTTTCAAGGCCCTCCCCAATTGACCTCTACCTGTTTTTGTAGTTTTTATTTCTTCTTTACTCTATGATCTATCCCCACTAGATTATTACTATCCAGAATACTATAAACAGTTCTTGTTTAGTTTGTTTCTTGTGTCTACAATGCAATTTTCTGTCTATGGAAATACTAGTTCCTTAAAGCCTTGTTCAGAAGTCACTTCTCAAAGCATTTTCTGCATTGGAAGAGGAACAGCTGAGACATGAACTGGTGCCCGTATGGGATTCTTGCGTCCCAGGCTGTAGGTTTACCCGCTATGCTACAATGCCAGCCCCTTTTGCTTTCTTTTGAATTGATTCTCTGTGCTCCTTTATTCCATTACTTTTTCTTTGTTAACTTTGGTAATGTTATACTCTAGTTGCTATTGTTTCTAATACCAGAAATTACATTATTGTTGTATGTTACCTTTTTTTTTTTTTAAGATTTACCCTCATAGTTACTAGTATTGCTGTTTACCATTGTTTATGCATTTAAAATTTCCCTAGTGAGTCTTTTGATAATATACATTCAACATCTTTTAGTCATAATTTAATTAACATTTGTTAATTAAAAACATAACAGTGTTTAAAAAAAACAGTTTTTTCCCATTAGAATGGTATCAAAGTAAGCAAGGACATGGGGAGATATTGATAGTTTTAAATCATTGATAGAAGTATAGATTAGTATGACTGTTCTTTAAGGTACCCTTGCAGTGGTTATTAGAATTAGAAATGTGTATGATCTTTTGATCTAGCAGATAAAATTCTAATCTTACCCCTTGAATAATGTTCAAAGCACACAAGAAGATGTGAATAGGGATATTTGTAATAAAAGCTTCAAGGCAATATGTGGATTATTTGTTGTAGAGCTCAAAAGGGACTTACATGTTGTCCATAATTTTGAAATCTGTACATTATTAATATAATTAACGAGCATTTTTGAATGTTCAGTGAAAGAAAGGAATTAAGGAATTAAGAGCTAAGGGATGGAAAAGGATACATTACAGAGTATAAGTAGAATTTGATACTAAAGAAGTCATCTTCCAATAAAATATTCAGGAATAAATATAGAAATTGTAATATTGGAACAAAAATTGGCAGACTATCACAAGTCAGGGTGGGAGAGAAGGAACTTGTAGAGTGATGTTCTGCATAAAAATCAATAGATCACTTTGTCTAAATGTCTAAGATTTAAGCAGAAAAAGATACATTCATATAGGATTGAGAATGCATATGGATTTTTTTTTTTGTTTATGAAACCATTCTTGAATCAATGTCTAAGAATGAAAGTGTTTTTCTTCCAATCTGGAAACGAGGTAAGTTATACTTCCATTAAATGTTGGAATTGAATTTGGTTACCTTGACAGCATTTTTCTGATGAACAGCTATTATTTAGAGATGATGATAATCCCAAAAAGAAGGCATGATAGCAAGTTCCAGATAAACTATAAAGTAGTAATCTTATTCAACCAGCTTATGTAGCTGCTGAGTAGCTTTTTTTTCTCTTATCCATATACCATGGTTACAGGTCCAAAGATCTCAACTTGACAATTAGTGAGCATTTTTGAATGTTCAGTGAAAGAAAGGAATCCTGTTTTATTTAGGCTTGGTTCAGTTTGATTTGGGTTTTTGTTTTGTTTTATTTTTTAGAACATAACTGAGATACTTTATTGGGTAAAAGGGTGATAAACTTTATTTTACTAGTACTACTAGTTACAGTATATAACTTCATTATTTTTCTAAAAAGATTTATTTATTTACTTGAAAGGCAGAGTTACAGAGAGAAAGAGGGAGAAACAAAGAAAGAATCTTCCATCTGCTGGTTCACTCCCCTAATGTCCAGGCTGAAGTGAGAAGCCAGGAACCTCCCCTGTCTCCCACATGGGTGTATGGGCCCACGCACTTTGGCTATCTTCCACTGCCCTCTCAGGCACACTAGCAGGGAACTGGATCCAAAGTGGAGCAGCCAGGACTCAAACTGGTGCCCATATAGGATGCCAGTGCTGCAGGCCACCTCTTTACCTGCTATACCACAGCATCGGCCCCTATACTTTATTTTTTTAAAATAAAGATCAGCTAGTTTATTTAAAAGAGTTACAGAGAGGGAGAGACTCAGAGAGAATGAGATCTTTAATCTGCTGATTCATTCCCCAGTTGGCCACAATGGCCAGGTCAAAGCCAAGGGCCAGGAGCTTCATCTGTGTGTCCCACTTGGGTGCAAGGGCCCAACTTTAAGTCATCTCCTGCTTTCCCAGGCACATTAGCAGGGAGCTGAATTGGAAATGGAGCAGGTGGGACCCTATGAGATACCTGTATCACAGGTAGCAGCTTTGCCCACTGTGCAACAACACTTGCTCTTGGTACATAACTTTAATAACAGGCTTTATTAATTGTAAATATTATTAACATTTTATTTCAGAATAGTTTTAAATTTACAGAAGTTGTGATGTAGTAATACAAAGAATTCCCATATTCCCTTTACCCTGTTTCCCCTGTTAATATCTCATAAATTTTTCAGAATGCATCACACAAAACTTCCCCTATGGTTTGGTTTTGGTTTTGTCTTTTTTTTTTTTTGACAGGCAGAGTGGACAGTGAGAGAGAGAGACAGAGAGAAAGGTCTTCCTTTTGCCGTTGGTTCACCCTCCAATGGCCGCCGCGGTGATCCAAAGGCAGGAGCCAGGTGCTTCTCCTGGTTTCCCATGGGGTGCAGGGCCCAAGCACTTGGGCCATTCTCCACTGCCTTCCCAGGCCACAGCAGAGAGCTGGCCTGGAAGAGGGGCAACTGGGACAGAATCTGGCACCCCGACCAGGACTAGAACCCGGTGTGCTGGCGCCGCTAGGTGGAGGATTAGCCTAGTGAGCCATGGCGCCGGCCTTGGTTTTGTCTTAAACATTAATATCTAAATTTTAATTTTTCTCTCTCTCTCTCTTTTTTTTTTTTTTTTTTTTTTGGACAGGCAGAGTTAGACAGTGAGAGAGAGAGACAGAGAGAAAGGTCTTTCTTCTGTTGGTTCACCCCCCCAAATGGCCGCTACAGCCAGCGCGCTGCACCGATCCAAAGCCAGGAGCCAGGTGCTTCCTCCTGGTCTCCCATGTGGGTGCAGTGCCCAGGGACGTGGGCCATCCTCCACTGCCCTCCCGGGCACAGCAGAGAGCTGGACTGGAAGAGGAGCAACCGGGACAGAACCCGGCGCCCCAACTGGGACTAGAACCTGGGGTGCCGGTACTGTAGGTGGAGGATTAGCAAGTGAGCCACGGCGCCGGCCTAAATTTTAATTTTTTAAGAGGTAGAGACAGAGAGAGCTCCCATTTACTCGTTCATTCCTGAAATGCTCATAACAGCCAGGTCTGAAGCAAGACAAAGCCAGGAGCCCAAAACTCATTCCAGATTTCCCACATGGGTGGCAGGGACCCAAGTATCGAACCATCACTGCTGTCTCTCAGGTTGTTCATTAGCAGGAAGGGGATTTGGAAACAGACTCAGCACTCAATTTCTGTGATTTGAAATGGGCTTGGGTCCTATTTGGGGCATCTTACCCACTGTGCTGAATATGCCCCCCAATTTATTTTTTTAATTCTTTTTGTAATTCAGCTCTTGGTGTATTCCTCATTTCTTCAAAACCTAGAGAGTTCCCAAAATAGTGCGAGAATGTGCACTTCCTATTTCTGTTGCACAAAGGATTTATTTTGTTGTGGGTGAATTTAGTTTAAAACAATATTTCTAAAACTCTTAATCATGTTCTACCATCTAAACACAATAATACAGAAGCCAAGTTTTTAAGTAAGAATTAGTTAAAATAAGTTCTGTTTTGAATAAACTCTAAAAACACAGATTACCAAATGAATAGTTTTATCTCTTGATACTTCTAGTTCATGAACAGACCCACTGAAAGGAAGTGCTGCTATGGTAACATAACCAGACTGTTATTTGAGACCATACCCAAAATACTTAACTGGCCTGAAACTGTGAGTTTTCAATACCAGTTCTTGCAATTTGCTGTTTAAAGGAAATAGTCAATTCTGTGATCAAAACAATTTGCAATCCTCTCGCAGTAGAATTTTAAAAGTATACTTGAACTAAACAGTTTCTAGGAGTATAAGCTCAAGAATACTAAAGTAGAATATGACTAGAATTGCTAAAATAATTGTCTTCAGTGTATGAAAAGTAATTCATGCAAATCTTTTCTATATGAAAATGAATTGACTTTGGAGAAAAGGATGCTTTGAAGTTTTATTTCCCTGTCATCAGAATGCATGTATCAATTGGGCCAGGTGACTGAATTTTCATTAATTTAACTTTCATCGTTTAATTCAGAAATATATTTGTAAAATTTGGCCTTTGTTAGAAAAAAATCAAAATGTTAAATACTTATTTCACTCAACATAATGTTTTCCAAATTCCTAACAGGGATCACTTTTCAGTTAAAATTTAAACACCTAAGAATAATTGTGTGTTAATTACAGAGTTCAACCAATGGTACTAGAACAAAAAAAAAAATACTAAAATGGATAAAGTATTACATTGTACATCAACCGTCAGGACAAGAGCTGATCAAGTCACTGTTTCTCATACCACTTGTTCTCCTTGATAGGTGACAACTAACTGAGCACCAAAAAGGAAACCTGTTAAAGTGAAATGAACGCTATGAGAAATGGTGACTTGATCAGCACTCACCCTGACTGTTGATGAGCAGCTTAATATGTTATCCCTCTTAGTATTTTTTTTTGTTTGTTCTACTTAATACTTTTGGTTGAATACTGTAATCAATACACAATTCTTCTTAAGTGCTGAAACTTAACTGAAAAGTGATCGCTGTTAAATATAAGAGTGAGAATAAGAGAGGAAGAGATGTGCAATTCAGGACATGCTCAAGCTGACTTACCTCAAACGGTAGAGTTAGAAACATACCAGGGGATTCGAATTCAATCCCATCAAGGTGGCATGTACCAATGCCATCTCACTAGTCCCAGTGATCAATATCTGTTCACAATTGATCATAATGATAGGACTAAGAACCAAAGGGATCACATAAACAAGAATAGTGTCTGCAAATACTAGCTGATAGAATCAAAAAGGGAGAGAATGATCCAACATGGGAAGTGAGATACACAGCAGACCCATAGAATGGCAGATGTCCTAACAGCACTCTGGCCTCAGCCCATAAGGCATGCGGATCCGGCTGAAATGCCCATGAAAGTATTTCAGGCATGGAAAGCCAAGACACTCTGGGGGAAAAAAAAAACCTAAATGAAAGATCTCTGTGAGTGAGATCCCAGTGGAAAGAATGGGTCATCAAAGAAGGAGGTACCTTTCTCTGAAGGGAGGAGAGAACTTCCACTTTGACCATGGCCTTGTCTAAATATGATCAGAGTCAGTGAACTCAGGGGGCTTCCATAGCCTTGGCAGCTCATAACAAGAGCCTAGGGTGATTACTGATGCCATAAACAAGAGTGTCAATTTGTTAAGTCAACAACAAGAGTCACTGTGCACTTACTCCTCATGTAGGATCTTTGTCCTTAGTGTGTTGTACATTGAGATTTAATGTTATAACTAGTACTCAAACAGTATTTTTCACTTTATGTTTCTGTGTGGGAGCAAACTGTTGAAATCTTTACTTAATATATGCTAAATTGATCTTCTGTATATAAAGATAATTGAAAATGAATCTTGATGTGAATGGAAGGGGAGAGGGAGTGGATAAGGGGAGGGTTGCGGGTTGGAGGGACGTTATGGGGGGGGGCATTGTAATCCATATTCTGTACTTTGGAAATTTATATTCATTAAATAAAAGTTAAAAAAAATGTTAAATACTTGTTTAGTTTAGTTCAAGTGACATTTTGATATTGAATACCAGAACAGAGTTGCCCCTGTTTATCTGGTATTTCTATAAAGAATATGATACTACATTTGTGATTTTTCTTGCCCTATGTATTTAAGTTGCTAGGATGTTTAAAAATGCTTCACACTCAGTGGCTATACTTTCCCACAGACATGAAATTTTTTTTTCCTTTTTAAATTTATTTTATCCCTTGTTCTTTACCACCAAACTTTTATCTTTTATTCAGAATTGATTGTTTTTTTTGTTCTTACTGTTAAGGTTTTTTTTTGAAGAAAACTCCCTCATCTCTTGGAAGTAAAGGAGTAGGAATATACTCTTATTCAACAAACATTTAATAAATACTTACTGTATGCCAGTTTCAGAATAGCCCATTATTATTCACTTATTTTTGCAGCTCTTTGTTACTTGCATATAAATTACCTAAATTGAATATTATCACAGCTCAGGGAAATGACCTGGATTGTTGTGTTGTTTTGTAGGTAAAATGTGAAGTTGAGGACCAACTCTAATATTAAATGACTTGTGATTAGGATTTCAGTTTTAAATTCTTGGGACAGTTTTCTTTCACTATGTCATTCTGCTTTAAGAATTATAATGTAGGGGCAGGTGGTTAGCCTAGCTGTTTAGATGCCTGGATCCCATATCACAGTACCCAGGTTTGATCCTAGATCCAGCTCCTGATTCCAGCTTCCTACTAATGGAAACCTGGGAGGCAGTGATGATGATGCAAGTAATTGGGTTCCTGCCACCCATGTCGGAAGCCAGGATTAAGTTCTGGGCTCCTAGTTTTGACCAGGGGCATTGCAAGCATTTGGGGAGTGAACCAGCAAATGGGAGCTTGCTCTCTGTCTCTCAAATATGTTAGATGTTTTTAATAGTTATGTGACATTCAGAGATAAAAGCCTCAGTTAGATTCATATTATCTTGAAAAAGAATTTGGAAAATGTTGATCATCACATTTAACCTTCAATCATAATAGCTTACATCCTACAGGAATTCTTACAAGAAAGAGTGAAGAACAGGGAACAAGTACATTTTATTGTTGCTTAAATAATTTTTTATAAGGTGAACTATTTCTTTTTCTTTTTTAAAGATTTATTTATTATTATTATTTTTATTATTACTAATTTGAAAGTCAGTTACAGAGAAGGAGAAGCAAAGAGAGAGGGAGAGAGAGGGGGATCTTCTGTCTACTGGTTCACTCCCCAAATGACCACAATGGCCAGAGCTGGACCACACTGAAACAGGGAGCCAGGAGTTTCTTCCAGGTCTCCCAGGTGGGTGCAGAAGCCCAAGAACTTAGACCGTCATCTGCTGCTTTCCCAGGTGTATTAGCAGGGAACTGGATTGGAAGTGGAGCAGCGAGGACTCGAACCAGTGCCCATATGGGATGCCGGCGGTGCAGGCAGAGCCTTAACCTTCTGTGCCACAGTGCAGGCCCCTAAATAATTTTTAATGTAGTTGTAAAGTGTAATTCGAGCTTAGAGAATTTTTAAAATAGAAAGGCATAATATAAAAACTAGAATTTAATTTGAATCTCACTCATCTTGTAAATTAAAGGAAATCTTACACATCACATAATGACTACCGTCATAAGTAGCAAGCTCAATTCAACCTTTGTATTGTACTCAAAAGGTACTAGAGGTTCCCCACACCCCCAGTACATATATTAAATACATCCAGCTAGGAGCTGGTGTGGTGGTACAGCTACTGCCTGTGACTCCATCATCCCGTATGAGTGCTGGTTTGGTTCCATATGCTCTACTTCCAATCCAACTCCCTTCTGATGCACCAAAGAAAGCCGCAGAGGATGGCCCAAGTGCTTTGGCCCCTGTCACTCATGTGGGAGACCTGGATGGAGTTCCAGGGTCCTAATTTTGACCTTTCCCAGCCCTAGCCATTGGGCCATTTGGGGAGTGAACCAGTGGATGCAAGATCCTCTCTCTCTCTCCTGCTCTCTCTCCTCTCTCTCTTATCTATCTTTCAAATAATAAAACAAATAAATCTTTTTAAAATTAAAAAAAATTCAGATACTGATTATGTATGTATAAAAATTCCAGGTTATTAATTCTTACATATTTTTTTTTCTAGGTTAATGGAAAAGGTTCATTATGGTGTGTTGATCCAGAATACAAACCCAATCTTATACAGGCACTGAAGAAACAACCTTATCCCTCAGCACCAACATCTTACACCTCTCCTGAATCTCTACAAAGGTAAGGATCTTCCATATAAATTTAACTCTCAGTGGTGATTTCTGAGATTTTATTGTAAGATAAAGAAATGTAACAAGGATTTAGGGTTTTTTTTTTTCATACAGAGAATTATTTATAGGTTAGACAGTGGCCTAAGGCATTTTTTAAGGTTTATTTATGTTTTTGAAAGTTAGAACTTAGAGACAGGCAGAGAGAGAGAGAGAGAGAGAGAAAGGTCTTCCATCTGCTGGTTCACTCCCCAGATGGGCGCAACAGCTGGAGCTGTGCCCATCTGAAGCCAGGAGCCAGGAACTTCCTCCAGGTCTTCCATGCGGATGCAGGGGCCAAAAAACTGGGCCATCTTCTACTGCTTTCCTAGGCCATAGCAAAGAGCTGGATCAGAAGTAGTGCAGCCGGGACTTAAACCAGCACACATATGGGATGCCAGCACTGCAGGTGGTGGCCCTGAAGGCATTTTTACTTAGACTAGTTTGTATTTTCCTATAACTGCCCTTGAATTTTGTTTTTGTTCATTTATTTTTTCAAGATATCTTTTTATATATTTGAAAGGCATAGTGATATAAAGAGAGGGAGAGACAGAGAAAGAAAGAGCATTCCATCTACTGTTTCACTCCCTGAATGGCTACAACAGCTGGAGCTAGTCCATACCAAAGCCAGGAGCCTGGAACTCTATCCAGGTCTCTTGTGGGTAGCAGGGCCCAAGTACTCGGGCTATGTTCTGCTGTTTTCCCAACACATTAATAGTAAGCTGAATCAGAAGCAGAGCAGCCAGAACTCAAGCCAGCACTCTGAATCAGGATGACAGCATTGCAGGCAACAGCTTAACCCACTGTGCCACAATGCTAGCCCCAACTTTGGTTCTTAAACCCAGTGACTCCTTATTCACCTTCTAGCTTGCTTGTTTTATGTTAAATCCAAAAATGATATGACCTCCTTAAATCTGATTTTGTTTCTTTTTCCCAAAGAAGGGTTCAAAAATGCTAGATTTTTCACTTTTTTAAAGATAGTCTATAGGGGCCTGACATTGTGGCATAGCAGGTAAAGCCACTGCCTGCAGTGCTGGCATCCTGTATGGGTGCAGGTTCAAGTCCTGGCTATTCCGCTTCCCATCCAGCTCTCTGCTATGGCCTGAGAAAGCAGTAGAAGATGGCCCAACTCCTTGAGCCCCTGCACTCATGGGAGACCTGGTAGAAGTTCTCTGCCTCTGCCTCTCTGTAACTCTGCCTTTCAAATAAATGAGTAAACCTTAAAAAAAAAAAAAAAAAAAAAAAAAAAAAAAAGATAGTCTGTAGTGCTTGACCTGTTTTTTGAAAACTTTTTTTAAAGTTTTAATAAAACAATAACTGAAAAATTTTTAAATATATATAAAGTCTAAGCCGCAAAAATTTTCAGTATATCATGTTAATATCAGGTTATTGGATTTTTTTGAAAAGCAGAGTTATAAAGAGAAGCAGGGAGAGACAGAGGAATCCTCTGTCTATTGCTTCACTCTCCAGAACTCCACACTGGCCCAGAACTGTGCCAGGCTGAAGCCAGGAGTCCAGAGCTTCTTGCATTTCTCCCATGTGGGTTCAGGGGCCCAAGCATTTCCTAGGCACATTATTAGCAGGGAGTTGGATTGAAAGTGGAGCAGCTGGATCTTGAATTGGTGCCCATAAGGGATGCCAACATCACAGGCAGCTGCTTAACCTGCTATGTGACAACACTGGTCCCTAATTTGGATCCTTTAAATATTGCTCGATAGCTTTTAGAGTGGTTGTAACTGATCTAGAGGGAAAAAAAAAAAAAAACCTGGAAAGTCTTAAGTTGAAATACCATATATAAACGCATTGAAATTAACCATATTTGTAGATTAGATGGATTGTTTAAATAGAACTGAGCGGTTATTTTCTTGTGAAATGAAACCTACAAAAAGTTATCTGAGTATCATCATTTGGGAATTGCTATCTTCTTTATTAGTTAATATTGATTTTTTTTGAGGTGTTCTAATTAAATAATTATCCCAAAACATATGGAAAGTTCTGCTTATGTTCACTTATGTGTTTTGTGAGAGATATTCTCAAAAAGTTAATGTAGGGGCCAGCGCTGTGGCGTAGTAGGCTAAGCCTCTGCCTGTATTGCTGGCATCCCATATGGGCGCCAGTTCATGTCCTGGCTGCTCTTCTTCCAACTCAGCTCTCTGCTTATGGCCTGGGAAAGAAGTGAAAGTTAGCCCAAGTGCTTGAGCCCCTACACCTGTGTGGGAGACCCGGAAGAAGCTCCTGGCTCCTGGCTTTAGATCGGCTCAGCTTTGCTCTGGCCAATGCAGCTGTGTGGGGAATGACCCAGGGGATGGAAGACCTTTCTCTGTCTCTCCCACTCTCTCTGTAACTCTACCTCTCAAATAAATAAATAAAATCTTTAAAAAAAAAAAAAAAAAAAAAAAGTTGGGCCAGCGCTGTTGCATAGTGGGCTAAGCCTCTGCCTGTGGTGCGGAAATCCATGTAGGCAGCAGTTCAAGTCCCAGTTGTTCCTCTTCCAGTCTAGCTCTCTGCTATGGCCTATGAAAGCAGTGGAAATTGGCCCAGGTTCTTAGGCCCTTGTACCCGCATGGGAGACCCAAAGGAGGCTCCTGGCTCCTGGCTTTGGATCAGTTTAGCTTCGTCCATTGCGGCCATCTAGGTAGTGAGCCAGTGGATGGAAGACCTTTCTCTCTGTATCTCCCTCTCTCTGTCTATAATTCTGCCTCAAATAAGTAAATAAAACCTTAAAAAACAACAACAAAAAAAGGTGCTATCCCTTTAAAAAAAAGTTAATGGAAAATACATGTTATAAAAATCCAGTGCTTGAGGCCGGTGCAGGGGTTCACTAGACTAATCCTCCACCTTGCGGCGCCAGCACACCGGGTTCTAGTCCCGGTCAGGGCACCGGATTCTGTCCCGGTTGCCCCTCTTCCAGGCCAGCTCTCTGCTGTGGCCAGGGAGTGCAGTGGAGGATGGCCCAAGTGCTTGGGCCCTGCACCCCATGGGAGACCAGGAGAAGCACCTGGCTCCTGCCATCGGATCAGCGTGGTGCGCCGGCTGCAGCGCGCCGGCCACAGCAGCCATTGGAGGGTGAACCAACGGCAAAGGAAGACCTTTCTCTCTGTCTCTCTCTCTCTCACTGTCCACTCTGCCTGTCAAAAAAATAAAATAAAATAAAATATCCAGTGCTTGAAATTCAAGTTTTTTGACACCAAAGTAAATTTGTTTTTATTTGTTTTTTTAAAGATTTATTTATGGGTCCGGCACTGTGGTGTAGCAGGTGAAGCCACTGCCTGTGGCCATTTGGAGAGTGAGCTAGCAGATGGAAGATCTTCCTCTGTGTCTTTCCCTCTCCCTCTCTTACTCTGCCTTTCAAATAAATAAATAAATCTTTTAAAAAAAATTTTATTTGAAAGACAGTGACAGAGAGAGAGAGAGAGAGAGAGAGAAATATCTCATCTATCCATTGATTCACTCCCCAATGTCCACAAAACCAGGTCCAGGCCAGGCCAAAGCTAGGAGCTAGTAGCTTCATAGTGGTCTCCCACATGGATGCCAAGGGCCCAGGTGCTTCAGCCATCTTCCACTGCCTTCCCAGGCACATTAGCAGGAAACTGGATCAGTAGCAGAGTAGTTGGGACTCGAACCAGCACTCTAGTTTGAGATGCTGTTGTCTTAAGCAGTGGCTTAACCCACTATATCTCAACTTTATTTTTTAATTTTTCTAATTCCATCTTTTTCATAGATGTTTACCTATGCTATTTTTTTATTTTCAAAAAGATTTACTTAAATATTTTTAAAGCAGAGAGAGTTAGAGTTCATTCTTCCATCCACTAGTTGACTCCCCAAATGCCTATAACAGCCAAGGTTAAGCAAAGATGAAGCCATGAGCCTGAAATTCTATCTGAGTCTTCAGTGTGGATGGCAGGGACTCAAGTGCTTGAGTCATCATCTACTGCTTCTCAGGAGCATTAACAGGGAGCTTAAAGTGAAGCAGAGTAGCTAGGAGTTGCACCAGCACTGTGATATGGGATGCAGTTGTCCCAAGTGACCGCTTAGCCCACTGCACCACAATGCCCACCCCACCTGCATTGTTTTTTTGATTAAATATTAAATGGGAGAATCCACTATTTTTTGTAAGCCATCACAAATATATTTTACTGTACCTTTGATATCTTGCGTTTTCATGTTTATATTTTTTTAGCCTTGTAAGTTGAAGTGGTAAAGGTAATTTTTCAGGTATTTTAAAAAGGTGGATAAGACCACAGCACAGAGGTGTATAGTCTTTGACTTTAGAACTTAATATATAATGAAATATTTTTTCCTATTTGTCCTATGACATTTCCATCTGACATGCTTTTGTGTAGCCTTCATGTTATAATTCATAAGCAATATATATAAGGTTCTAAATAGAAAATAAACTTTTTATCTAGTCAGCAACAGATTTTCTTAATATTACCATTAATTCCAAAGATCAGAAATGCAGTTTATACCAAAAATGTTTATATTTCTGGGATTAAAAAAAGATTAAACTGCTTGTATCTTTCCATAGATATATAAATATTTATATATAATATAAATATATATATTTATATAAATATATTTCATATAATATATATTTATATGTAATATATAGATATTTATAAATATGTAATTTAGCTACGAGAGAATTATAAATATATATATATAATTTAGCCTAGAGAGAGAGAGATCTTCTATCTGTTAGTTTATTCACCAAATGTCCACAATAGACAGGGCCAGCCCAGGCTGAACTGGGAGCCAGGAACTCCACCCCAGTCTAACATGTGGGTGGCAGGAATCCAAGTACTTGGACCTTCATCTGCTGCCTACCAGGTGCATTAACAGGAAGCTGGGTCAGAATCCAAGGCAAGACTGGATCTCAGGCACTCCAGTAGAGAATTCAAGTATCCCAAACAGCTGTTTAACTCTCTGTGCCACAACACCCACCTTCAGAGATTGTTCTTATGTAATTTTCACAACAGCTCTATATAGGAGATCTAATTATTCCTGTTTTACAGATGAAGAAACTAAGAAATTAATTATTTTGCCTTGAAATATCCAAATAATTTTTAAATCTAGGACCTTATGTTTTTCCCACTTTAGTAGTCTTTTCCCAGACTGAGTAGTATTAGCAATGAAAACAAGTTAAAGGGGGCCAGCATTATGGCATAGTGGGTCAAGCCGCTACCTGCAGTGCCAGCATCCCATATGGGCACCGGTTCATGTCCCAGATGCTCCACTTCTGACCCAGCCCTCTGCTTATGGCATGCGAAAAGCAGCACAAAATGGGCCAGGTATTTGGGCCTCTGCCACCCACATGGGAAACCTGGATGAAACTCCCTGCTCCCAGCTTTGGCCTGGTCCAGCCCTGGCCGTTTCAGCCATGTGGAGAGTGAACTAGGGGATGGAATATCTCTTGCTTTCTTTCTCTGTAACTCTGACTTTCATTAGAAATAAATCTATTTTTAAAAAAGCAAGTTGAAGAATTCATATTTTTATGTATAAGTTAGCTGTACTTGTGACTACTATGAAAAGTGACATACAGATTATAAGCACATTTCTCTTTTCTCTTTATTTTTCAGTGGTTCTTTATCACCTCAGTACTTAAGCTCTGTACTCAAGCAGAACCAAGTGCAAACCCTCAAAGGTATGTGTGAAGATCCGTGTTTAAAATAATGAGAACTCAGGTCAAAGTTCAGGATTTTTTTTTGTTTAATTTCCTAATTATATAAGTATTATTTGTTAATTATAGTCTTTTAAAAATGTTTATTTTTATTTTATTTGAAAAAGTCAGAGAGAGATCTTCCATCTGCTGGGGTACTGCTCCCCAAATGTCCATAACAGCTAGGACCACACCAGACTGAAGCGCTGGAGCCTGGCATAATCTGTACTGCAGTACTTGAGGCATCACCTGCTACCTCCCTGGATGCACATTAGCAGGAAGCTGAATAGGCAGTGGAGTCGCCACAGCAAGGCACTCTGATACACAATGTGGGCATTCTAAGAGGCAGCTTGTGCCTCTGCTCCAAATGCCCACCCCCTCTGATTACTTTTACGTGTATTTTGTCTTGAAAATAGGATTTAACTTCAGTAGAATTATCCTTTTAGATTTATCTTAGACTAGAATAGGGGTTGGCAAACAATGACTCCCTGACCATATCTAGCCTGTCACCTGTGTTTTGTGTGGTCTGTGAGCTAAGAATGGTTTTACATTTGTAAAATGGCTAGAAAAAAATTCAAAATAGCAATATTCAAGACTTAAAAATTTGCTACAACAGCAGAGTTCAATAGTTGCAGCAGAGACCTACATGTTATATTCTTGATTTTACTTCTTGGCCTGCAAAACCTAACATGTTTACTTTCTGACCCTTCACTGAAGAACTTTGCTACCCCTTAGGTTAGATATAGTTCTGAATATTTCTATAGGTTGTTTGTATAAAGAACTTCAAGAAGGCAGTAAATTAAGTTTTTTAGAATTCTGTTTACTTTTTGAAAGCATATATATCAAAAAATTAGTATGATTTTTTCTGCTTATAGTTAATATTGTGAGTTAGTCGTATATTAAAATAAGTGTCTAGCATTCTTGTTTTGGAGACTAGAGATATTTCTACAACTTTTAAAAATATAAATTCTCAGACTGAAGCCTTTCTGTGTATCAGAGATTTTTGGCTCTTTGGAACTATACTAAGTTGAGCCTCAGAGGCTGTGCTGTGACCTATAAAAATAAGGGATGGAATGAGTGTGAAAAAGCTTCAGTGAACTCTACAAAGAAGTTAAGTGAATAGGCAATCCGTTTCAGAAAATGTTCTGCCTTAATATAAGGCACATATCTGTTTTCCTTTTTCCTTCATGAGTAAGTGTGGTTTCTCTGTACATTTAGATATTGCTGAAACTCCTTTATCTTTTTATTACCTCAGCTTTATTCTTTGAAAATTATTTAATATGTCTGTTTTGAGAATAAATTTTTTGTGAATTTGGGGTTTACTTAAAATTTCTTCTTGATTTTGTACCATTCCACCCACATTATGATTCTTCCTTTGGAGAGCAGATATTTCCACAAGTTCTCCCACTAGTTTCAGCCATAGTCTTTCATAACTAGAGCAGAGGTACTTCTCTGTCGTAACTATACAAATTATGGCTTATCTCTCCAGAGCTGGTAACACTTTGGTTCCTCCTTCCCTAGTTATAGTTACTTTGTGCAGGATGGTTGGTAATTTCATTTAAAATAAATGCATGTCTCTTCTAGAATAGAACACAAAATTGTTATGAATTTTAAGGAAAGAACATAAGAACTCACAAAAACTTCAGACAGTTTATAGAGAAGATCTATTAGAGGAGAAGATGTGATACTTTGAGCCAAGCTTCAAAAGATGGGAAGATATTTGACCTTCAGGTTGGATAAAAGGCAGGGGATTTTGGCAGAAAGAATCATAGGCAGTAGAGAAAGGTATCTGGCAGTTGCTGAGAATTTGGGAGCCTGATGAATATGACTGAAGCCTAGGACTATATAGGAGGACTAGGTAGATGTCATTTAGCATGACCAAGGCAAATGAAGCAGTAGTTTAAAAGCTTATTTAATATTATAAGGAGTTTGAACTTCTTCCTCTAACTAATATTAGTAAACACTAAGCTGCCTACCATGATGCTTTGCATGCATTATCTTATTTAATCCTTACAGCTGAGGTATGGTTACCCTCTATTACAAATAAAGAAGCTGAACTCTGGAGATGTTAAGTAGCTTTCTCAAGGGCACACATCTAGTAAATGGAAGAAGGATGCAGAGCCTGCACTCCGACCAGAAATGAGGCCCTGAGGAGCTACTGAAGAACTTTAAATAATGAAGTAACAGCATCAGTTTTAAATTTTATGAAAATTAGTTAAGTATCATTGTTGGGCTCTAATATTAAAGCTTATTAGTCATCTATTACTTCAAAGAGTCATGTTTACTGATCATTACATTAGAGCTACCTTTAGGCACATGAGTATTAAGAGAGGTTAGGTTTTGGAATTCCAGAAACCACCATCAGCCAAAACAGTTATAACAGTTTGTCTAGCATATAGTTGTCTCTCCTGCTCAACCTACTAATTTTATGTTCCAATATTCATATTACAGCATTGCATAATAGGTAGATGAGACAGTCTCCTACTGATACTACAAAACAAAATATTGTGGGGGTCAATATTTTGGTTTTGTGTGGGTCTAGGTATAGTCATCTGTTTAAAAATATTACTGAGCTGGCCGGCGTCGCGGTTCACTAGACTAATCCTCCATCTGCACCGCCGGCACCCCGGGTTCTAGTCCCAGTTGGGGTGCCAGATTCTGTCCCGGTTGCTCCTCTTCCAGTCCAGCTCTCTGCTGTGTCCCAGGAAGGCAGTGGAGGATGGCCCAAGTGCTTAGGCCCTGCACCCGCATGGGAGACCAGGAGGAAGCACCTGGCTTTGGATTGGCACAGCGCGCCAGCCTTAGTGGCCATTTAGGGGGTGAACCAACGGAAAAAGGAAGACCTTTCTCTCTGTCTCTCTCTTGCTCACTGTAAATCTGCCTGTAAAAAAAAAAAAGAAAGAAAAAAAATATTAGTGAGCTGTGATTGGTGTGCTTGTAGGCACTGGAGTACATCGTTGAACAAAGACAAAAAGAGAACTTAGTCCAATTAGTAAAATTTAGCATTAATATATAAAATACCTAATATACTACAAATATATATAAAATTTAAGTGGCTGATGGGGATGTTAAGGGCAAAGTGCAAATCTAAATTCAGATTGAAGCATAATTTATATCTTAATGAAGTAAAATAGTGGTCCAGACACCTTAAAGTATTGGTAGTTTATTTTAATTGCTTCTTTGCTTTAAAGAAATAAATGTGGGAGTGGCTCTGTGTCATAGTAGATTAAGCCTCTACCTGTTGCACCGGCATCCCTTATTGTCACCGGTTGTGTCTCGGCTGCTCCTGTTCCTATCTAGCTCTTTGCTGATGGCCTGGAAAGGCAGTAGATGACCCAAGTGCTTGGGCCACTTCACTGGCGTGGGAGACTCGGAAGAAGCTCCTAGCTCCTGGCTTCAGATCAGCCCAGCTTCAACCGTTGTGGCCATTTGGGGAGTGAACCAGCAGATGGAAGACCTTTCTCTCTGTCTCTCCCTCTCTTTGTCTGTAACTCTGCCTCTCGAATAAATAAATCAATCTTAAAAAAAAAAAAAAGTAAATTTGAATGCTCTGTAAATATGTGTTCATTTTGATAGAGGCAATAAATCTATGTATAGTTAGTTATTACTGAGCTATACCCATTTAAATTGTGCTTTTACATTGCTCATATAATTGCTACAATGGACTGAAAATAAGACAACAAAAGCACTCACTTGGGGCAAAAAATAAAAGTAGCATCTTTTTCTTGTTTCTCAGTTATTAGTAATTCCCAATATCACAACTAAGGAAAAATAAGCCAGAAGGTAAAAATTAACGATTTTGACTGAGCTTTATTTGAACAGATATGAAATCAGTAGCATTATCTATTTATTTTTATGCTTTTTCTTTTTTAAAAAAGATTTATTTATTTATTTGAAAGTCAGAGTTACACAGAGAGAGGAGAGGCGGAGGGGGTGGGTCTTCCATCCAATGGTTCACTCCCCAATTGGCTGCAACGGCCGGAGTTGCACCGATCCAGAGCCAGGAGCTTCTTCCCAGTCTCCCACATAGGTGCAGGGGCCCAAGGACTTGGGCCATCTTCTACTGCTTTCCCAAGCCATAGCAGAGAGCTGGATAGGAAGTGGAGTAGCCGGGTTTTGAACCAACGCCCATATGGGATGCCGGTGCTTCAGGCCAGGGCATTAACCTGCTGTGCCACAGTGCTGGCCCCTCTCTCTTTCTCTCTCTCTCTCTCTCTTTTTTTTTTTTTTCTTTTAAAGACAGGCAGATGGAGAGAAATCTCCCATCCACTGGTTTACTCCTCCAAAATCCTCAACAGCCAAGTCTGGGCCAGAGTCAAGAGCCAAGAACTGCATCCAGGTCTCCCATATAGGTGGCAGGGACCAACTACTTAAGCCATCATCTACTACCTCCCAAGGTGCACATTAGGAGGAAGCTGGATATATGAGGCAAAGTAGCCAGGACTCAAACCATGCACTCTGATGTGGGATGTGGTCATCCCATTCAGCACCTTAACCACTGTACCAGATGTCCACCCCCGAAAACTAGTGTGTTTTGAACTATCAAATTTTGGCTTCTAATGAACTGGTTTATGTTAGGATAATATTAGCTAACAGGGATTTTTTTTCTTTCAAACAAAATTTTTTAAATTTTACTTATTTACTTAAGAAGTGGACAGAGAAAGAACTCCCATATATTGGTTCACTCCTCAAATGCCCACAAAGGCCAAGGCTGCACCAAGCTAAAGCCAGAGCTAGAAATTCAGTCCAGGTCTCCCACAGGAGTGTCAGGAACCTAATTACTGAGTCATGACCACTGCCTCCTAGGGTTTGCATTAGCAGAAAGCTAGAGTCAGGAGCTGGAGCCAGGTATACACCAGGTACTCCAATATGACATTCATTAAGTATTTTACCAATGAAAAAAGTAACTTTATATTTTCAAATATGATAGTAAACAAATGTGTCTTTAGTTTAAATGTTATACCAAAATTTATTGGGTACTATAC